ATATCTGAAATGAATAAAAAGAACTGGTACTTTCGTCCATAGTAATTTTCGCCAAAACAACAAACACAGTCTATAGATCTAATGGAAGACATCGCAAGCTATTCTCGCGGAAGACGGTCTCTCAGCTGCATCTGAAACATTACGAAATGTGTCATTTTAGATTGGGTAACAGATTCGAAGTAAAATCTGCATTTTCGTTGCCCATTCATGATTATGCTTTGTATTTTGTATATATATATATTTTTTTTCGAACGTAGTGGCAGTGCATTGCCAACTAGTGGAAGCCAAAGCCATCCCAGAACCGCTTTCCCATTGTCTTAGGATGCATCCTTATGTATTCCTAATCTTCACTGTCATTCCATCTACCCCGTCCTCGCCTGAGATTAGGTGTTCGGATGTCGCCTTTGTGTGACTTTATAACAAGGCACAAAGCCGGCGCATTTCTTCCATCTTTCCATGTCGATTAACATGGCCACTAGCATGCTAACTGGCGGAAGCTCTACTTCCAGAGATCTGAAAGGCATGTTTTCAAGTATCTCCAAGGCACAGAAACGAAAACAGTGTGCCGCCTATCGTCGTTTATGCCTTAGCATCGCCCGCCTGCGCTATCTGTCCGTAAGTTAAAACGGCAGAGATAACTCGACAAATTTCCATAATCAGTGAAAAATTGGATTAAGAAGAAGTTGACTTCTCCGTGTTTCCTTACCACCCATTATTCTACGTTTGAACTAAAAGGTGCAGGTTCACCTTCCTTTAGAATCGTCTAGCTATCGTTGCTGCCATTACGATGATGATAACATGATTTGCTGGATAGCATTTTCAATCAGTATATGCGTTTCCGCCTCGCCGATTTGGGCCTGTTCACGTTTGGTATAATTTTTCATAGAGTGTTTGCGGCTGCCCACGCTTTATGCAGAACATTGTTAACGCGTTCCGCAAATGTTGATTTCGTATCTAATTGCACTCCCAGATATCTCAAATTGGAACTAAATTAAATGCAGTAACCATCTACCTCAACAATATTGCCTTTTATCTACGGCAAGTTTCATTTTGGACTTATATGGCGATCTACTCTTTCGGCTTAAGCTACCTTTACAAACTTTATTAGTCGGGGCCGACGCTTGCTGCACAATTACGGCAATAACCGCATAACCTATGAATTTTGCTTCGGTTGCAAGCTCGACGGTGAACAGGCCGTCACGCATGACATTCAACAGGAAGGAGCTTAGAATGAAGCCCTGTGGTCGTCCGTGCAGTAATTTTGTGTTCTCTAATTACTTCGTTTATTCAACTAGCCATCTATCATTTTAACCAAAAGAACGGAGAGAACCTTTTCTTCTTTAAACTCTTCGTGATGACTTCCCAACCCCCAGATATATTAAGTTTGTACGTGTGCATGCAATACCCAAAAGGGCTTGAGATAGACGCACCCCTTATTACAGCGATCGATATTCAGAACCACTTCCTGATTCAAGCTGAACTTGGCTGTCCGTTCTATTTATTTTGTTCATTATACAAGTCGCAATGTTTAAGATATTTCGATGGAAACGGGTACACCATCACGCTCCCAGGAACGAATTCTATTGAAAATGATTCGGATCAGACCAGTCACAGTGAAAGTTCCAACATCAGACCCGACGCCATGAAACAAGCATTAGCGTCTAGTCAGACTTTGTACTCCAACGACTGTTAGTTAGGCTTTTGTTTTGTTTTTGAAGTTATGGCCATAAAAACTAAGGCCTGAGCTTAAAATACAAAGCAGACAACCTGTACAATTGAATTTAAATGAAACCATTTAATGTTAGGCTTGTGGACGGTTGTGTAACGCTCTCAACGCGAAAACTATTCGAACAAATTTCTTTTTTGTAAAAAGAAAAGCAACGGGTAAATACTTCTAAGTATTGTTCTCGACAAAGCTCTCACAAGATCTGATCTACTACAGATCAAAGTTTGGTGAAATCTCAAAGCTACGATGCCATAAAAATGGCTTTTAGCCAGACAGATAAACAGACATGATGATCTTTAGGCTAATAGTGACTAGTGAATAGGGCGTAAGACGAGCGATTTCCAATGCGTATTTTGCCCATAAAAGTTCGTGGGTAAGTGGGTAAGTTCAAATGACAAATGCAACGCAAATACAAATTAAATAATTTTTTACTTTGCATTAATAGGAAAAGAGAATTAATGCTTTTCATGTATGTCGGAGTCTGAAAGCCTTAAAAATCATTGTTCCTTTTCAATTACAGACATGATAATGACTGACCTGATAGTATACACGTACACGAGTTACTAAAAAACTTTTTAATATTCGGGAATGTTTAGATCAGCTTTACATTCGATCTATAATTGAGGTAAACTTCAAAAAGTTAAATTGAAAATTTCTATATCCTTAGTCTTAGAGAATGTCAAGTACAGAGAGAATGGGCGGACGTGCATCTTACGGAAATAATATCATTATAAAAAGTGCCTCCTACTACTCTAAAAAAAAATATAATTGTGTTTGGAAAAAATTTTCAAAAATATTTTTCTACTAATAAAAGACGACCTGACCTTATGGGAAGCTTTCCTTCTCTTCTTTCACATAAAGAGCTATCGCCAAACCTTCTGTATGCCGTATGCAGTCACAGTGTTAAAAATTGCAAATAAATTCACCTTCACCACGAAGTGTTGTAAACGGCTTTTAGACAGATTTCGTCTGTTATCGCAAACCATTCCAGGCGCTTCGTGTTAATGCTTTCCCACAATTTTTGTATTGCTATGCTACATTATACGCAAAGTGCAGACGCCAATTATTCCTTAAATAATGAAGGAAAAGTTTTACCTGTCCTGTATTTGTCAGCTTAAACAAAGCCTACAGCACTTACGAAAACACCTAAAAACAAATAACAAAATGATATTCCAATTAAGGCGAATCTTGGTTACCCACCATCTAGACCAGGCGCGCGAAATATGTTCAAAATTAATTTTTTATAACCGCTGCGTATATTACGTAAAAAAAAAAAAAAAAAATACAAAAAATTTATATAAAAAATTTTGCATGCTCTCGTGGTATGCCTACAAGTAGTGAATGCTCACTGATGGAACAGTAAAGTAATTGTTTAAGTTTAGTTTTAATCGGAGACTTTAATCAAGTTTTCTCATGTATCCAGCTTTCGAAAGATTTTTAAAATTTTATATTTGACATTTTAGGGAAGTTTCGTCGAACTAAATTATATGTAAAGATCGAAAAATCGCAACATTTTTTTTTTTTTTTTTTTTTTTTTTGGAAAAAATTGTTTTGGGAAACATTACTTCGTTTTAATAAATGTAATAAAGCCCTCTACATATGTACGAAGCTTACAGCGGTAAGGGCGTCGTTAAGTCGTTGCTTATCGAAATAAATTCTTTTGTATTTTAGTAACATTTATTGTGTGTGTATGTATGTATGCGTTTTTCTTTGTTTCACCACTTGTGGTATGAAAATTCATTCAGTTAAATTGTGTGTTGTTAGCAAATCACCAAAAATAATGTTAATCTACAATAAAAAGCAAAACATAGACCGAACACGCACACAGCGAGCAAGCAAAAAAAGAGAGACAGAGATATCGAGGTATATACGAGAGTACACTTACACGCATACACAAAATTGAATGCCCTCCAATACAAACAGACGCAGAAACGCACAGTTTTACATACCTACGTCTATTTATATGTATGTAGATATAACCAAATGCTTGTGTATAAAACAGCAGCAATAGCAAAAATATTTAAGTAGCGACCGCATTTATATTCACAACAACAACAACAAAAACAACAACAACAATAATAATAATAATAATAATAACAATAATAACAACAAGCACAACAACAGCGACTAAAAAATAAATTTAAAAAAACAAAAAAAAAAAAAAGAAACAGCTAAACTGTTTAATAATAACAAACAAGCAAGAATGAGTAGAAAAATCAAATCGAATTGAAATGAAACGAAAGAACTTAACCTCATATTTATCCAACACAAAATAGTTTACACTGTATAGTTAGTTAGTTGCACTGTATTGTTAGCTCTGTTATAGCTACAGCTACAGCTGCCGCTACGGCCTTTACGCCGTTTGCTGTTATTGTTGTTGTTTTCTTCTTTTTTTTTTTTTTAAATATACGTTGTGGTTGTTGGTATTGTTGTTGTTACTTTTTGCCTCTCTATCGATATAGTGATGATATTCTTGTCGTTGTTGTTGTACATACTCAACTCATGAGAATTTAAAAGAGACCAAAACACAAAACAAAAAACAATCTGAAAAAATACAAATAAAAAAAATAAATAAATAAGAAATAACCAAAACAAAAAAAATCAAGCAAACAACTACAACAAAACGATAACGATGACGACAACGCAAGTAAAATGAATACAAATTAACAGGCTTACATACATACAAGTGCTCGCATACACCGATAACCCAATGTATGCATGCATAATCGAAATACTCACTCACCGAACGCTATATCATACACATACCTGCATACTTACAGTTCATAGTCGAGAGCGAAATGTAAAATTGTCTGCACGTGTATATATACGTATATAGCTATATATGTATATATATACGTGTTTTTATATACGTAAGTTTGTGCATATTATGTATATATATATATATATATATATATATATGTATAAATATACGTATGTTTGTGTGTATGTATAGATTTGTGTATAACCGTCATACATATTTACAATATAAATGGTTGCATATCTGCTTATGGGTATATGTGCACAAACGTATATTACATATAAATCGAACCGCAACACACAAGCTGGCAAGCATACAGAAAAACAATTTCAATAAAATTTTATTACACTGCGGCCAACACTGCCAACAACAACGACAGCGACAACGACAACGACATCAAAGGCAGCAGCAACAACAACAACAACAATATAAATATAATACGTACGCCATACACCGAAAATGTGAAAAAAATAAATAAAAATAAAAAACTGAACAACAACAACAATAACAACAGCAACAGACAAATAAACAGCCAGCCAGTCAGCCAGCCAGCAACAATGGCAATAGCTCTACAGGAACAGAAACAGAAACGTTAACGTAAACGTCAACGTTAAAAACATCACCAAATGAAGGTAATGTATAGACTTACATACATGCAAACATACTTTGTCGTATATACATATAT